ACACCTTGTTATCTAAAAATGAACCACTTGTGATTTGTCTTTTTAATTCCCAATTTAATCAGTTTTGGTCTCAGCCAGTCATATATCAATGCAGGGAAATTTGGAGGGTAAGGAAAATTTGGAGGGGGATAAGAGAGGGAGATCAAATCATTTACTTGACTTTTTCTGGAATGTGCACTGGGATGCTCATGGGTAGGGATTTTCTGATTATCTGTTTACAAAAGTCTACTTATTTACATTCCTTGCTGCAAGTCATCAAATGATTAAGTTGATTATACAAAATCTCATTTACTCACAGACCATAGTTTGAGGTCTCAAAATCCATATGGTTATATGTGTGGAAATATTTAACTAAAACACAGTGAGTCTTTCAGCAATGAAGGTCTGCTCACTGAAGAGTTAAACAGCTCGCAGTAGAGTCAACACTGTGATGATACTTTAGGGTTCATCCTGTTTACAATACAGGCAAAAATGAAAACACAAAGTAAGAATTACATTTATTAAAAAGCTACTTTAAGTTTTTTTTCAATCAGTAGTGCTGTGTCAATCAAGATAATACACAGTAATGTCCTTTGTACAAAGAGAATGTATGAAATGGGGAGAAGGAGGGTGCGTAGTCTTCTTTATCTGTGGGTTATACAGTCTTAGTCTCCAGCAGGATAAATCAATGTCATTTCTCCAAATTGTCAATTTTGTTTATACAAGGGCAAAAAAAAATGTAATCTGGTACAGTATTATCACAAACATTATTTAAACGTTTTTCTTCTCTTCAGTGTTGAAGTGCAAGTGCTTTGGTATATTTAGATAACATTATCTTGGACCATTTAAAATATATCTAAAGGCTTTATAATGAGATTCTATTATACAGATCTAAATCAAATTGTGACATATTAAATATTAACACTCGGCAATGTAAAGGAGACTGCAGTGCTTTATTCACTTGCTCTTTCCTCGATGGTATTCTTCCTTGAATATTTGACCAAGCACAATTGCAACACACTTGGAATAGTTTATTGACAGCCACATGATTTTGCCACCATGTTCCGGTACTTTTTTAATATCACATTGTATTTCTCATCAAAGTAGAGAACGGAGGTGGCACTGAGTTTAGTTGGTGCACAGCATGGCTTCGGAACTGCTTCCGGCTTCAACAGATGAGCCTGTTAAGAGAATAAAATATCTTAAATTTGGTTCTTTCGGTTTTTGTTTTCTCCAATGCATGACTTACACAATTTTCTTCTCCATGATTGGTTTTGTACATCAAAACCAATTTCCAGGTTCCAAATAGTGGGACATTAATCAATGCTACAAACAATATGTCAGACAGTATGCTTCTGGCAGGTAGCATGTGCAAACCCATGTGGAAGGGTATCATCACCTTCATCTACAAGCGGAAGGGGGAAGAGGGAGGAAATTAAAAATTGGTGACCAATTTTACTGTTGAATGTGGATTACAATACTGTCTAAGGTCATTGCCAACTGGGTCAGGTCTGCTCTGTCATCATTGATTCACCTCAATCAAACCTATGCTGCACTGGATAGGAAGATCGCTGAAAGCCTTGCACTCCTCAGGGATATGATCACTTATATGCAAGATAGGGGCCTGGGTGGAGGGGGGGCTCGGGGGGGGGATTGTTGGCAGGGGAAGCCTTAACAGCCTAGACTACGAGAAGGCCTTTGAGAGGATATCTCACATTTACGTGAGGGATGTGCTCTCCAAAATGGGCTTTGTGGAGGGAATCCAACTCTCTACACCAACATCAGTAGTACAGTCTGAAACAACAGGCAGGAATCAAAGTCTCCTGATCAGATTTAGAGTTAGGCGTGCCTTGTTTGTGTGTTGTGTAAAACCTTTTTGCCTGGTCGATCAGGAAGGCTGAGAGCCTGAAAGAGGTGACCTCTTCAGGCAGCAAAGGCTTGCGAAACATGGATGATGGTGCTGTGTTATGCTCAGATCTGCTGACAATGTGCAGACTCATAAGCATCCGTGGCCACTACGAACTGGCCTTGGGAGCCAAGGTAATTCAAGGCAAGAGCGAGGCCATGTTCTTTGGGAATTGGGCTGACCGATTCTTTATCCCCTTCACCATCAGGTCAGATTATCAGTAGGTGCTGGGAATATGGTTTGGAGAGGCCGGGGCGGATGCCAAAACTTGGGAGGAGCGTATCGCCAAGGTGAGACAGAAACTGGGCTTATGGGAGCACTGCTCCCTCTTCATTGTGGACTGAAACCTGGTCATCAGGTGTGAGGTACACTCAAAATTGTGGCGCAGATCTGGCCTATTCCCTGAATCTGTGCCACTGCAGTCACCCAAACCATCGTCCACTCCATCTGGTGGTCAAAGATAGACTGTGTCCACAGGAACACCATGTGCAAAGTTCTGGGTAAGGGGGGGCGGGGGGAGCGGGAAGGATATACCCATTGCTGCCCTCTTCCTAATGACCACCTTTGTGTGTGGCTGTATCAAGCTGTGTGTAGACCGTCAGTGCGCAAACACCACGTGTCACTATGTACTGAGGTTCCACTTCACCCTAGTGTTACAAAGGATGGGCCTGGCCTTGGTATCGTGGAACACTCCAAGAAATTGCAGAGTTCCGTATCACCTGTACCTCATGGAAAAATTTGTAAAGGAAAACATCTCTGACCACAAGACCATCTGGAAATGGGCAGCATGAAGCGTCCTTGAGATTCTGCAGGAATAGGACATCCACCCTGGGATTTGGGACAGGATCAGCTTTAGGGCAGGCTATCAGGCAGAGATCATGCACTTACACACTTCTGATAGCACAAAGGACTAATGGGACTTCTCAAGCTTCCTATCTTCTAGCTAGGTTCTGTTGTGGATTCCAACTATATTCCATAATTTGAATATGTGATATAGACCAACTTCTTACTGCAATACTGAGTGAGTATAACATAAATCATTCAGCGGTGCTGTGTTTAGGATTGAATGGCTTTACTTTTTGTTGGCTTGCTCTGTGCACTAAACAGCTGTGAGTCTTTGTATATAAGACGGCCAATGCCATTCAAAGTGGTCTGCTGGCTGTGAAGTACCAGGGATTTCTGAAGAGTCACAATACATGCCATTTAAACATTTTTTCGCCTTTAATATTCTACCCACATAGACCAACTTCCCCTTAATTTAGTTTCAATCTTTTTTTCAATATTTTTCAGCAAGTGCATACTTAATCATATTTGATACATTTCATTTGTAAGTCACAATTACAAGCTGATATCCAAGTTAACCGTGTTGCAGCAATTCGGAAACAGTCTGCTCCTGGTAAACGGGACTCATACACTTACCAATGTCTGAACAACTGCATGGTTAGTTGCATTCATGTGGGAGTCAAGTGGAAACGAACATTCTCCATCACAATAAAATGCTGCGTAGCCCTCTGGTGCAATTATCCAATCCTACATTGGTAGACAGAAAATGTTAATCCACACAGACCACCAAGCTCCCCATGTGGTCAGTTTGACTTTGATGAGAGACATTTCTTCGAAAATGTTTATCCATTTCACAGTGCCTATCCAATTAAAAGGAATTTGAACTCATCAGCAGAATTTAATTCAGGCAAAGATACCCCTCTCTTCAAATGCTTTTGTTTTTCTTATTTTCTTTCTGTCTTTTACATTCCTTTTTGTATTAACGTTTTTTAAAAAAAAACTTAGCTTAATCATCACATCCTTTCTTATTTCCATAAGTTGCCAAGGAGGTACAGATACATTTAAGAACCACTCTCATATAGACACTTGGGTACTTCCACTAGTGAATGGCCATAAGACAACAAGACATAGGAGTAGAAGTAGGCTATTTAGCCCATTGATTCTGCTATACCATTCAATAAGATCATGACAGATCTTATAATCTTTAACTCCATTTTCCTTCCTTACCCCATAATCCTTGATACCTTTACTGATTAAAAATCCAACTATCTCACCCTTGAATATACTTAAATACCCAGTCTTAACAGCCCTCTAAGGTAAAGAATTCTGAGATAAGAAATTCCTTTTCATCTCTGTCTTAAATGTGCAACCCCTTATTCTGAGATTCTGCCCTCTGGTCCTTGACTCTCCCACAAGGGGAAACAACTTCTCAGTAGCTATTCTGTCAAGGCCCCTAAGAATCTTATATGTTTCAGTAAGGTTGCCTCTCATTCTTCTAAACTCCAATGAATGGACATCCAACATATTCAACTTCTCCTCATAAGAAAATCTCTCCATATTAGAATCAACCTAATGAATCTTCTCTAGATTGCCTCCAAAAACAGTATATCTCTTTTTAGAAAAAGGGACCAAAACTGTTCTTAGTATTCCAGATGTGGTCTGACTATTGCCTTATATAGTCTTAGCAAGGCCTCCTTATTTTTATACTCCAGTCCCTTTGAAATAAAGACTAATAGTCCATTTGCTTTATTACTTACTCAACTCGGATTGAGATTCATGCACTCGGGTCCTCTGTGCTGCAGCTTTCTGCAGTTTCCCCAGTTCAATAATATTCAGCTCTCCTATTCTTCCTGCAAAGTACACCACTTGATTTTCCCACATTATATTCCATCTGCAAAGTTTTTACCTCTTCACTTAATCTGTTTCTATCCCTATGTAGACTCATTGTGTCATCCTCATTTCTTCCCTTCCCAACTAATTTTGTATCATCCACAGACATGGCAATAGTACATTTACTTCTGACATCTAAGTCATTAATATATAAATAATTGTGGCCCCAGCACTGATCCCTTTGGCACTCTACTAGTACAGGTTGCCATCTTGAAAATATCCCCTTTATCCCAACTCTCTGTCTTCTAAAAGGAAGCCAAACCCCATCCTTTCTACTTTACAATCCTTAACACCATGGGCTCTTATTTATTCTGTAGCTTTGTCTGTGGTACCTCATCAAACACCGTTGGAAATCTAAATGTATTACATCTACTTGTTTCCCTTTATCCATTCAGCTTGTTACCTTCTCAAAGAACTGTAATAACTTTCTCAGAAATGATTTCCCCTTCATGAAACCATGCTGACTCTGCTTGATGGTATTTATTATTTATTTCTAAATGCTTTGCTATTACATCCTTTATAATGGACTGTAGCATTTCCCCACTTGGCCAATCCTCTGGAACATTTCCCAAATTTAAGGATTCTTGGAAGATTACTTCAATTCTTTCATTATCTCTGTAGCTACATTTTTTAACATCTTAGGATGCAATCTATTAGGTCCAGGGACGTAATAGCTTTTAGCTCCATTAGTTTCCCTAGTACTTTTTCCTTGGTGATAGTTACTGTATTTATTTCCTCCCTCCCTCGGGCCCTTTGATTATTTAGTAAACTTGGAAGTTTGATACAAAGTATTTATTAAACTTCTCTGCCACTTCTTGTTTCTTTATTATTATTTCCTCAGCCTCATTCTCTAAGGGGTCTAATGTATACTTTGGCCCCTCTTTTTCTTTTTCACATTTTAGAGAAACTCTTACTGTCCATTTTCATACTACCTACCAGCTTCCCCTCATAATTTATTTTCTCCCATTTCATTTTTTTTCGTCATCTTTTGTCGAATTTGAAAACTTTCCCAATCCTCTGGTTTACCACTAATCTTTAAAATATTGTACGTTTTGTTTCTTTCACTTTGGTAGTATCCTTAACTTCCTTGGTTAACCATGGTTGGTTTACCCTTGTCCTAGAATCCCTCTTCTTCTGGGATATATCTTTGCCGTAAGCCATGAACTATTTTCTCAAAGATCTGCTATTGCTCCTCAGCCAGCCTTTCTGCCAATTATCTTTCGTAGTTTACTCCAGGCAACTCAGCCCTCATTCCTATGTAATTACTCTTACTTATGTTCAGTACAATTGAATGCTAAATTCTAACATGTAATGGTCACTTTTCCATAGCATAACTCTGAGATTGTTTATTAAACCTGTCAAATTACATATTGCCAGATCTAAAATAGCTTGATCCCTGGTTGGATCCACCAGATTTTGTTCCAGGAAACTGTCAGAAATACATTTATTAATTCTTCCTCATGGCTACCTTTGCCAATTTGACTTTCCTAATCTATATGAAGGTTAAAGCCACCCATGTTTGATGTACTCCCTTAAAAAAATGCCCTTATTATGCCTTGAGTTATTCTCTATCCTACAGACCAGCTAATGTTAGGGGGCCTACAGATGACTCTCACCAGTATCTTCTTCCCTTGATTTTTCTTACTTCCCCCATATGGATTCTACACAATTGATTCAAAAATGAATGTAGCTCATTTGGCTGTGCTCAGTAAAAAAAAACAAAGAATTGAATTGAGCAATAATACTCATCCTTTGCATGTAAAATGTTAATTTTATTTTCTGAATGAAGCAATTTTCTGCAGCCTTATGTGTATATTTATTTCATTCTCACCTATAAACAATTGTTACATAATTATTCTTTAAGATCGTCCTACATAAAACGAAAAAAGTTAGTAGATGAAAGCTGAAAATATTTTGGCTGCCACCGATAAGTTTTTATGTCTGCTCTGGTATAAGAGGCTGCTTTACATTACTTATGACATTTAGAATTACTTGTATGCTCATCTGTCTATGATATAGTATCCTTTTCCATTATATCTTTGATTTCATACTGAAAGTGTTAGTAGAATGATAAAGCATGTTTATGTAGCGATGTTATGGCCAAGATGTTAAATATTAAAGGAACATAATCCAAGCTAATTGGGATTTAGGATAAAAAAAGAGTTGAGAGTGTTGGCTGCAATAATTACTTCCTATACATATGTCTTAGTTATGTTCTGGTGTTTACACTTTGTTCTGAATCAAACAGGGTTAGTGTCAATGGTGAAGGTATGAGCATTGGATACCCATGGATTAGATCTTGACGTATAACTTACGTGACAGACTGAAATGGCTTGCCTTTCCTCACTCCTTACAACTTATGAAAAGTTTAATTTTAGATGTTTTACTATGTTTGTAAACAGAAGTTAAATGAGATGTAATTGTATTCTTGATGAATCTAGTATATCAAGCATTAGAACTTGAATCCAGATCTAAAAACTATGTGACTGCATTAATTGGCACCAACACCTAAGATGTTGACTGCTTCGAATTCTCAGGTACTTCCCAATAATGAAGCATTTGTCTTCTTAACTAATAAACTTATACTTGTATCTTCCTGAAATCAAAATTCAATACGTTCCACCCATATTTTTTAATGTTAGCAGGTCTGGCAGTTAGAGAAAAAAATTTGTGGTTTTTCACAGACCCGACATGGTTTAAATTCATGTCAATGACAGCACTGTCACAACACAAGATAGATTTTGGGGTAATCTGGCAGCTGGGGCTGTTATATAGTTGATGACTCCATTACCTAATCTCTGCATTGAATTCGAAATAAAATGTACTAATGCTCAAGGCAGTTCAAATTTTTGGGGGTGCTCAAACAATAGTTGAAATGTGTGCACTGAAAAATCTAACATTTTCAAGAAAACCATAAAATGCACAAATGAAACTACAGAATGCAACTATATGGGTACGTCCACATGCAAGTGAAAAATTTAAGTCCATATGCACCTTCTTAGTATGAATTTGGAGCGGGATTACCACTTGTTAGTTTGTGAGAAGCTGCAAGCTGTGAATTGCTGTTATTCCTGATTGTGGGTTCCCAATGACTGAAGTAGTGACTGGTACTTATATTCCTTCATCAGTCCGAAGAGGCTTCTATATTTAAGCATCTTGGGAGATCCTGCTTTCATTGGGCCTACTAAAATCTATCTGCATGATGTTATCCATGTTGTTGAGAACTATGAGAGCTCCTGGAAATTTGGAGATATGACGAGAAGCCATAGCCTATGCATTCTGATCTCCTGAGAAGACAGTTGTGTTTGTGGCCTTTACAAAAGCAATACAATTTAAAAAGTTCATTAAATTCTTGCAAAGTGTGAAAATGAATGTGAGGGCAGGTACATGCATGCTGACCATTTGCTGCCAAGTATAAATTTGACAGAAAGCACACCATGATGTATGTGATTGATAGGTGCTACTCACAGAAAGAAATGGATGTACTACAATAATGATTTTAAAACAGGAAATATATCCAATCAGTACTAGTGGAAACAGTCGTCTTTTAGTTAACAATTACTGGTGAAGTCAAAAATTAATAAACTGTTTAAGAACAAGCAAATCACTAATGCAAATACACAAAACTCATCTTTGAAAACTGAAAGGGCTGCAGTCACCAATTCACTCACAAGGTTACACAATAAAAACACCTACACACATTTTCTGCACATCACAGAAATAGAGACACCTTACCTGCCAGCCGAGGTCGCGGAAGCTAACATACAGATCATGTCTCTTACATACTCGCCTGTGATCTCCAGAATAACGGGCTGCTTAATATACATAATTTAAAAAAAACAAAAACAAAAAAAATCATATTGTGGTAACTAACCCACTTGTCTTTGAGTTTAAATAAGCAATGTGGAAACATGTTCCAGACCAGCCTCACAGGAGATTCTTTGTTTCATTGGTGATGGAGTGAACACAATGGGCAGAATTAATCCAGGCCATGAGCTTTTAATGAAGACCAATCATATTAGATGCTGGCTAAAGCACAGGTGATGGGCACACTCTGGAATCAATGCTACAGGTGTGGAAATCCTGCCTACGAGAGTAGCCAGCCAATCAGAAGCTGGCAGCTGTCCATTGCTGTCAATGCCACTGGGAGCAGTGGGGGTTGAGGATCAGAGGCAAGGGTAGGGGATTGGATTTTTAGGATGCTCTTCCCGATACTAACTCTCTCAGCACAGAGTGGCTTTGAATGAGTGACTTTCCTGGAAGGCTTTGTGCATCCCATGTACCAACTTCACCACTCATCTTTGGTTCAAACCAAGTCCACGTAAGGACTTCTGGATGGCAAGGCCATCTGCAACTCTTCCTGGCCTGGACTTAATTGGGCAGAAGTTGGAAAGCAACAGGGTTCCAACCTAGCAGTCTTGTCCAATTTACTGCCACCATCACCTCCAAAATTACTTCTGGCAGGGGGAGTTAAATTCCACCCTCTATTCTCATCAGATTTCTAATTATGCCTGATTATTTAAAAGAAGCATTTTAAGATTTTTAATTTCTCTTTATAATTTACACATTCTCCACGTGTGCTGTTCTATCCTTGCTCTCTTTTTCTGCTGTGAATTCCTTAAGCACACTAGTTACCCAGCCTATTGCCAATAATTTATGCAGTGTTTTGAGTACTATCACAATATTTTTGCACCAAAATCAAAAATTAATTACATTACAACTTGAAATATTTATTCTAACTCAGCTTTGATGCGGGTTACTGGACAATAGTATGTCTTTCATGAGATAAAGATAACAACTAAGGAAATAAATTAGACTCATTTTTAGCGCAAATTTAATCAGAGCGATCTTTGTTATGGACACATGTTGACGGTGTTACCTGTTGTGCTAGGTAGTCTCTCACAGGATTCCTGTGACTGGTTGTGCTTCTTACGTCCTCTCCGTGGTTTTGTAGTCCGCGTTGTACGAATAGGTGCCGGACTTGCTCTGAAAAAGGTTACCATGAATGGCTGCTTTGAACGGGGCCCTCGTCGTCCTATCAGCCCAACAGAGTCAGGGTCTAGACTGCGTCCGGGAGCTTAACATGGAGTAGTAAATAATTAATAAATTATTCAATTTACATGACTGCTCCCTTAAATATCACTTGGATTTTTAAAACACAAAAAGTAGTACACAGAGGTTTCTGCTATAACGCGATAGTTGGGTTCCAGTGCAACATTGTGTTCTAGAAAATCGCGCTAAAGAAATAACTTGACCGAAGGGAAAAGTGGGGTTAGGGGCAGACCACCAAAAAAAGTGTAACACATCAGATAACACTACTGTCAGCAGCTGCTCACACAGGTTGGCCTGACTGAGGCAGCAGCTTCGCAGCTCCTTCTCGGATTGACACAACTGTCCTCACTATTTCCAAAAAGTGCAATACAGTTACACAGGTGTTCTGATCAATACTTATCCCTTAGTCAGCAACACAATGACAGATTGTCTGGTCATGGTCACATTGTTACTTGAGGGAGAGTGTTGTGTGAAAATTAACTACTGTATTTTCTGCCATGACTGCACTTCAAAAATACTTCAGTGGCTGTCAAGCTCTTTGTAACATCCTGAGGTTGTGAATGGTGTAAGCCTTTGTAATCAACAAGATCCAGGTTCAAGTCCTGCCTCAGAGCTCAATGGCCAGGGAAGGTGCATTCACAATGTGACTAAAAAGATTGTCAATCGGCAAATTCTTCCAACACAGTGGCAGACTGTAAGATTGGGAGAGACTCCTGGTTAGCCATGTGACTAAAAGAACATTGGAGACTCTACCACGACTATCCATAGCTCCAGACTGCGACATATACATATGTGTTTGTTGCCCTAGCAACTCAGACTCCTTCAGCGATCTTATCACCAGACCACAAGGGTATCGAGGGATATGGAACAAAGGTGGGAAAATCAAGTTGAAACACAAGTCAACCATGGTGATCTGACTAATTACTTAAATAGGCTGCTGGAGCCTCCTATTGAACCCAGGTCCTGTGTCTAACAGGGTTTCCTTTCAAGGCAAGTTAGATGTACTGTTTTTCACTCTCTCTTACACCCTAATTTTCCCGATAACAGACCTGCTGGCTTTTACTTTCAGTTTTAATGAAGGCTGACAGGGAGAATTTCTTTGGGACTCTCATAATCACAGCATTCTACAAATACACTGTAGGTATCATTAGCAAAGGGCTCCTGACAGCAAGATGTCTAGTCGATGGAATTGCATTACAGCCAACACTAGTTCGCGTTTTAGAAATAGCTTTCCCCTATTTGTCAATCGCGTTAAAGCCAATTCGCGTTGGCAGAACATGCTGTTTCTTTATATATTTTTCTTTCTCTTTTTATCAGTCCAAGCCAGGCCCCGTAGCTGGCTCCGAGAATGAGCAGGCAGACTTCTGTTTGATGCCACTCTGAAACCAAAAGGGATGCACTGCTATGGTTCTGCAAAATGAGTGGCTGAGTTTCCTGCCCTCACTGAGTTGGATTTGTCCTCCACAATCTTCAATTTTGTTAGACTGGATGTCCATGAGCGTTTTATCACATAATTAGCTTCTGCAGCATTAAATTCTGCAGCCAGAACCTCCTGCTAACATACAGCCATTAAAATATATAAAATTGGGATTCATAGCAGCCCATCATTTGGGGGCCTTATACTACTGTACCTTAGAGTAGCAGGCTACATAATTTCACTTCTAAATTACTAATGGTATGTTCCTAGTCTCAGCTGTACCCCTGTAAGGAGCACAGTCAATTTCCCCAAAATCTGGGAGGGAAGTTCACCGGAACCATTTTGCAAGACCACTGCAGTGTACCCCCTCGTGGAAGGTTTGAGAATTGCATTGGCAGCCATCAAGCCGTAGTTGTCAGCTCTGAACTAGGAACAGGGCATGGGCAGACTAAAGATAGGAAAAAGTAATTGACCTACATTTGATACGCTTCAGAAATGCAGTGAATTTTTATTACTTGTGTTCTTCAGGTGAGATAGAGAAGGATGTAAAAAAGATGGGGGAGTTTGATTAAGGAGAATGTCACAATTGTACTAAGAAAGGACATCTCGGATGACACGTATGGTCATGTGGGTAGAACTCGGGAATAAGAAAGATGTAATCATTATGATGGGGTTATACTATAGGCCTTCCATTGGCCAGTGGAGATAGAGGAACAGATATGAAGGCAAATCAAGGAAAGATATAAAAAAAGGGTTGTTTTTAGTGGCTGATTTTGACTTCCCCAGCATTGACTGGGACTCCTTCAGTGCCAGGGACTTAGATGGGGAGGAATTTGTGAGATGCATCCAGGAGGGTTCTTGAAACAATGTGTAGAAAGTCCAACTAGGGAAAGGGCTGTGCTAGACTGTGTATTGGGTAATGAGCCTGGCCTGGTGATCGAAGTTTCAGTGGGGGAGCATTGGGAACAGTAATCATAATTCCATAAGGTTTAAGATAGTGATTGATAAAGATAAGACTAGTCCTTGGGTGAAAGTACTAAATTGAGGGAAGGCTAATTAGAAGCAAGAGAGTACCTAGGGAAAGGGTAGGCCCACTCAAGTACAAAGGAGGGAATTTATGGATAGAGCCTGAGGAAGTGGGTGAGGTCCTTAATGAGTACTTCGGGTTGATGTTCACCAAGGAGAAGGACATGGATGATGGTAAGCTTAGGGAGAGGTATGTTGATATTCTAGGACATGACAATATTAAAAAGGAGGGGATGTTGGGTGTCTTGAAAGACATTAAGGTAGATAAGTCCCCGAGACCTGATGGAATCTATCCCAGGATACTGAAGGAGGCAAGGGGGAAGATTGCTGGGGCCTTCACTGAGACCTTTGTGTTTTCTTTAGCCACAGGCAAGGTCCCAGAAGGCTGGAGAATAGCCAATGTTGTTCCTTTGTTTGAGAAGAGCAACAGGGTTAATCCAGGAAATTATAGGCCAGTGAACCTTACATCTGTTAATTATTGGAGAAGATTCTTAGGATTTACTTGCATTTGGAAAAGAATGGACTTATTAGGAAGAATCAGCATGGCTTTTTGTGGGGGAGGTCTTTTCTCATAAACTTGATTGAATTTTTTGATGAAGTGATAAAGATGATTGATGCGGGTGGGGCTGTAGATGTTGACAACGTGAACTTTACTAAAGCATTTGAGAAGTTCACTCGTGTTAGGCTGGATCCATGGTAAGTTGGCAATTGGATACAAAATTGGCTGGGTCATAGGAGACAGAGGTTAGTTGTTGAGGGGTGTTTCTCTGACTGGAGTTCTGTGACCAGTGGTGTTCTGCAAGGAGCGGTGTTGGGACCTGTTTTATTTGAAATAATATATAAATGATTTGCATGAAAATGTTTGTGATCTGATTAGTAAATTTGCAGAGAATGTGAAAATTGATGGAGTTATGGATAGTAAGGAAGGTTGTCAAAGGATATGGCAGGATGTAGATAAGTTGGAAAATTTGGCGCAGAAATGGCAGATGGAGTTTAATGCAGACAAATGTGACGTGATGCATTTTTGTTGGTCTAATACAAGAGAAAAGCACACAGCAAATGGCAGGATCCTTACAAACAGTGACATACAGAGGACTCTTGGATTGCAAATTCATAGCTCCCTAAAACTGGCAACACAAATGGATAAGGTGGTAAAGTAGGCGTATGGCATGCTTGCCTTCATTGGTCGGGACATTGAGCATAAAAGTTGGCAAGTCATATTGCAGCTGTATAAAACTTTAGTTAGGCCACATTTGCAGTATTATGTACAGTTCTGGAAGGATGTGGAGGCTTTGGAGAGGGTGAAAAAGGGGTTACCAGGATATTGCCTGGAGTGGAGTGTATTAGCTATAAGGAGAGGTTAGACAAACTTGGATTGTTTTCACTAGAGTGTCACAGGCTGAGAGTGACCAGATAAAAGTATATAAAATTATGAAGACAATGACAGGGTGGATGGTTGAAACCTTTTTCCCAAGGTGGAAATGTCAAATACTAAAAGGATAGGTTTAAGGTGAAAGGGGGAAAGTTTATAAGAGATGTGCAAGGAAAGTTTTTTACACTGAGGGTGGTACGTGTCTGGAATTCATTGCTGGGGGAGGTAGTAGAAGCAGATATGTTAGCAAAGTTTAAGATGCATTTAGACAAAAAAATGAACAGGCAGGGAATAGCGGGATATGGGCCATGTGCCGGCAGAGAGGATTATTTTAGAATGGCATCGTGGTCTGCACAGACATGATAGGCCAAAGGGCCTGTTCCTGTGCTGTACTCTTCTAAGTTCTATGATCTTTTGGTGATCTTTTTTGACTTCAAATAATTTAAATGGAAAGTTTTTACAAAGTTTACAATGACAAAATTAAAATATTGAATATGTATCAGCGGGTATACATGGACACTGTTAGATTTTACTCCTCTCTCCAGTGCTCATCTAAACAATAGGTCAGTGTCAAGGGATGAGAGGTGAAATCACAAAGCAATATCCTGTTCAGGGTTTTGCTACTCATGCCTACTATAATGATGTTAAAAATGGGCGAAAGAAAGTTAAATTTCTATTTTTAAAAAAAAATCACGTCTACTGATTTTGTTTGGTGAGTTTTTAAAATGCAATTAGAAAAAATTCATTTGGAGGTGACAGCACTTAAAATTAATAAGGAAAAGGAGGCAGAACTGGCATTCGGTGTTTCAGCCACGTTTCCACCCTTCAATGCTGTGTGAAGAACAGTATGGTTCTTCCAAATGCTCAGAGCTATACTGTTAATGAGGTAAGGAAGGTAACCTGATATAATTACATGTGCTAATAAACCAGATGCATAGCTTAAGGACTATGCACATCTTAAAATTGCCTTACAAACCATGAAATTTTTATGTTGGAATAAGCGAGAATTGAATCAATGACAGATGAAAACATTCACTTTTGGTTAACATTTCCATTAAAGGCATGCTTTAGGAAAAGACCCGTACAAAGCTTGAACCATAAACTTTAGTTGCCGGGACCAGGGGTTGGAGTGAAATCTTTTTACAATAAATGCTCAAAAATAATAAAGTAATTGCAACATAGAGTGTCTTATTCTAATCTTGCAACATAAATATGTGACCGTTAAATACAATACCTTCCTCAGTCTCCACACAAAGCCGCAGACCCAGATTATAATGAGGATTCATCAACCAATCGTTACTTGTTGCTGTGATGTCAAATTCCAGCCACCCTTCTTCTGTGGGCCATATTTCTTGATTGTCCAATAGGAGGAGCTCTGGTTCTCTAAAAGTGGAAAAACAAGGCAGTCAATTTGAACTGATGGATAGGGACTCGATCTGTGACCTTATAAATATCAACAATCTACACATAATAAAAACCCCAGACGAACACTGCAGGGAAATTATAACACAAGATATAACACCGAGTCATAAAAAGAAGCAGAAGGTCAGATGACCATCTATAGATTTTAAGGGATTTTAAACCTTTTAAAGGCCGGGTAGAACAACGTAGGGAGGTTGTTGTATAGTTTAACTCCAAGGCAATTGAAATATAATAACAGCATCAAAATTAGATAAAACTTCCATTTTTAAGATAGCTTCCCTGAAAACATAATACAGGTCATTCTGTTCAATTTCATGGCATACAATCTTTACAGCCCAGATTAAAGCTATTTGGACCATTGAGTCTATACCAACCCTCTGAAGAGCATCCCACCCAGATGTCGCCCCACCCTATCCCCAAAACCCTGCATTTCCCATAGGTAACTCACGTAGCCTGCACATCCCTGGACACTATGGGGAAATTTAGTATGGCTAATCCACCTACCCTACAATGCCTTCTCTGCTTGCTTCTGTGCCATTATCTCCGGGGCTCCCTAAGAATGCATCCTTGGCTTGCTATTATTTCTTATCTACATGCTGCCCTTTAGTATCATCACCACAAGGTCCAGCTGCACATGTATGCTGATTACACCCAAATCTGTCGCTCTGTCACCTCTCTTGACCTCTCTGCTGTTACCGATTTGTCATGCTGCTTGTCCAACCAGAAAAATCTTTCTCCAACTAAATATTGGGATAACCAGAGTCATTATCTGCAATTTCCAAGCCAGCTACCCCATCCCTCTCCTTGGTGATTGTCTGAGGCTTAACTAGATCCTTGGAAACATTGATGTCTTATTGCACCTTGGGATAAACTTCAAACCATATATCCACTCTACCATTAAGACCACTTACTTGCATATCACCTGTCTCCACCTTGCCTCAGCTCCCTTGCTGCTGAAATCATCATCCAGGTTGTTGTTATCCCTGGACTGGAATATTTCAGTGGACTATGGCTGCCTTCTCAGTTTCCACCATAAACGTATAATCAACCAAAACATTTTGGCCATATCCTAAGTGGCACCAAATCCTACATCCTTTACCCTATGGTTGCTGAGATATATCAACTCCCAGTTTGTCAATGCCTCAATTTTAAGATTCTCATCCTTGTTTTCAAGTTTTGCCATGGCTCCTTTATCCCCATCTCTGTAAGCTCCCTATAACCTTCACAAACGACTGGAATCTCTGTGTTCTTCAATTCTGTCCTTTGGTGTCTCCCTGACTTTAATCTCTAACACTGACAGATATGCTTTCACTTGTTGCAGCCCTGAGAAAATGAATTCTTTCTTAAAACTCTTCAGTGTCCTTTCTATGTCTCTTCCTTGTCTGAAGACATTTCTTAAAACCTACATCTTCATTTGTATTTCCTTGACTGGGTAAATGTCAAGCATTTTTGATAGCCCTTCTATGAAGTGCCTTGTAATGTTTTACTACAGTCAAAATGCTATCTAAATGCAGGTAGTTGTTGTTAGAGAGGATGGAAGTTAGCACCTGTTGGAATGCATCTGGTAACCATTAGGAAAAACATTATTTAAAAGGCAGCCCAGTAGACTGTTGAAAGTTAATGGAATGTTTGGAGATTGCAGTCGCAAATATGCTTCAATAGGGTGTTCTTGACTATTTCAACATGCTTTTAAGGCAATATTCTGTCAGGAACATTATTCATCAAATCCTTTTGAGAAAGACCCTCAAACAACTGTGCATGTGGGCAGAATAAACTGATGGTTTCTGAATACTGTCATTTGCCGAGTTCCAGGTTCAAGTACTGATATGATGAAGTAACCATATGCTGAGTGTGGCACCTCAGATTAAAGCATTCTTTATCTTAGTGTGAAAGAACACTGCATAGATCAGCAAGTGAATGGAATCTGTCATATAGTTAAAACAAGCTGTCAACTGAAGACTGAGATGAATCCAACAATATTTCAGGGACACGTGCAGTTACTGTCTCAAGTTGTAGCTTTACTGACCTACAGTATGTGGAGTCATGCAGTTTCAGGTTGTTCTCATTAACATTGACAAATGTATTTCATAAACTGTACTTAGCAGCTACTAAAGTTGTGGGAGGGGGTGGAGTAGAAGGGAAAGTAAGTTTCTTCTCTTACCTCAACTTTGATAGTCGTGATCTAAATATATTATTTGGTTTAAAAAAGATTAAACCTGCTTCCCCAAAGGTACAGCTCTCAAAACAGCCGCCCAGACTCTAGCTGTTATAATCTTGCCAAATTTCTCCAAAGTGGCAAGCTCAAACCCCAATCCTCTGAACCTCTCCTTTATTTCCATTCCGCATGTGTTTCATCCTCACGCCCCCAAAAAATCCCTGTTAAGAAATGGACACCTCCTTGAATTTCTGCAAAGCATTCCCTCCCAACTATTTTTAAACTTATCGCTTTTGTTTTACAAATAGCACATTCCATTGTTATTATCTTAAGCTTACAGTTTCCAATTGTCCTTTCTTGATTAACCCCTTGAGCAGTGGAGCAACATATTGAGATGAACTAAAATCCAATAAGGTTGTCCTTTTATTTTACTTGACTAATTAATAAAGCTGCCTACAATGGAACTTGTGCAATGTGTAGTCGTTGTAGTCAGCCTTGTATAGTGTTACAGTCACGTAACATAGCCACAACCTCAGTAAGAATAGAAGCTAGACTATGTATAAATCTGAGTTCTTGTAACAATGTAATTAGTTAATGTTGTTAATAAACTTCATGTCATCTGATTTGACCAGAATCTAATCTTCTTTGAATGTATTACGTGAGCTAACGTAGGTAAACACTCAAACTATATCAGGCTGGAAATGATGGTTTGACCCATCATGGTTGCAGTGATAGAAACTAAGTACTGGTGGAAGCCAGTTGGCACTAAAGACTGTAAAGGTGATAGCAGTGTGGCAGTGCGAAGAGCTCTGTTTTCTAAACATCACTCCGAATTTAGAGGTGAAGTTTACAACTTAAAACCAAGATGACAACCTGTACTGAAGCATAACAAATTCAATGGAGGAGAAACTTTTATGAGTATTCTCTCCCTCTTTAAAAAAAATACGAGGCCAAAGTGTGGCTGTTTCGAAAAGTTTTGATTTGCAAGAGGCTAGCATAGCTCTGATCTAGCAAAGTGATCTTCCGACAAAACGCAGAAAAAAAAGTGCCCATAAGAAATGTTCTATTTATTAGTAAGGCCTTATCTGCTTCCAGATGTTGGATGATTCCACTGATCATTTTTTCAGAAATGGCATGAAAGCCATCAAAGGTTGTCGTGTGATATTACCCCGATATCTCTTTTGGTGACAACGCCATGTACAATCACTACTCAAATATTTTTAAAGCTGCAATATTAAAGCAGCAGCAATAAGAAAGATACAAAAGCAGAGAAGCCAACAACAATAAAAAAGAAAGCATTACATTGCAATGTAGATCCTTTGCGTCTAGGCATTTTTAACGAGCACAAAACTGCACAGTAAAGATGGAAAGCAAACTTTGCACATGGATTGGTGCTTCAATCGACATTCTGTCAAAATTTCAGTTATTTAAAGAAAGGATAAACCTTGACTTCACAGATCAATAAATAGCTGATAAAATTAAGTGAGTCAAACATTGGAAAACAAAGGGTTAAGAAGAATGACATTCTCAGGTATTTCTAATGATGACTGCAAAGATTCAGAACAGTTTCTAATTTTTTTAAGGACATCAGCTTAATATTTGAATTAATTTCAGAACTTTTAGACTTGAGTTCATGTCATACTGGCAATAGCTAGCTGAAACAATCAATTTCAAGGTAGATGTCAATACAAAGATAAGAAATTTGATTTCACCAAAACCAACTTAGTTTTATGGAAATGGGTATCGCCTCTGCATCCATCAAATTCTTTTAAAAGGTACTTCTAGTCAGACCCAATGAACATATTATCAAAATCACTGCTAGCAGATAGATGCATGCTTGAGTAATTTTAGATCGTCAAAAACTTCTAAAAGAACTTGATTCTGCAACAAGTATTGTAGCCATAAACAGGGTGAGCAAACCATTCAAATCTTGCAAGAGATGTGGCTTGGCTCACACCAAAACAGAGTTCAACATTTCATGATGTATGCAAGCTATGTTTTACAAGAGGACATTACATTACAATGTGTAAGAACGCAAGTGCCCAGAGAAACCCAAAGTGCAACACAATGAGTCACAGGGGCATGTCAAGAAAAATCAAGCAAGAAACAATGCCAAGAATGTTTCCACACTCTCATTCACAATACACAAGCATGTCAATGAAGACCAGGAGGTGTCTGCAATGTTCCTGCTTACAGATCCCAGTCAAATAGTACATGTGGTCAACTTCACACACCACATGGATATCATCAGAAAAGCTGAAGCCTTTATGTTCACTCAAATGATATACCCTGAAAGGAATGGACAACATGCACTAAAAGCCAAGATTGACACTGGTGCAAGTTTGAATACCATCCCTTTATACATTTTACATGAAATATACTCAGGTAACTGGCACAATGTGGTGCAGTTCATGCATGCTAAGCAATGTCAAGCATTGACATTTTCCATTTTCAGTGTCAATATGGCTTATTGGAATGGACCCCTGAAACCTTTTACATTATTGAGATAGCTGAATCAGCTATTATTGGTCGACCAACATACACAGATCTATATATAAGTATGATCCATGAGGTAACAAATCCGTCAGTGGCAACACCAAAGATTCCAGTCCTCAACATCAATTTTATCCATGACCTGACTGACCTCCACCCAGACAGGTTTGACTATATTGACAGCTTTGAAGGTGACGCAGCGATATATTGACCCCAAGAATGGATATTGATCCAGACATCTTTCCCTAGAGTCACAGGAGTTGACAACTTTAAGACCATCTTTCAGTAGAGATTGTTTCCTCAGGTTACCATG